TCTAAATGCAAGACTCATGTCATGGGCTGACCAACATGGCACAGGCTGGGTTTCGTCCTGTATATTTTACAATAGACCATGCATTCACTCTTATGGCCTTGTCCAGGAGTACTTGTCAAGCTCAAAAGGTCGATTTTACTGTTTGTATGTTGATTCCTCTGTCGCTTTTGACTATCAATCGAACCAAATTACTGTCCCTCCTGATAGAAAAGGGTGTCCATGGAAAAGTGTACACTGCCTTAAAGAGTTTATACTCGTCTACAGTATCTAGTGTTAAATTACGGCCAAAACACACAGTTTCGAAAGTTTCATTGGTTTAAGGCAAGGGCGCATCCTCAGTCCCCCGTATTTCTGCTTCGATATAAACCAACCTCTTGATGCTATGTCAGATGGTGAAAATGTTAGTTATTTTAACCATCTAGGAGGCTGGGGTTTTGCTACTTCTCTAATATTCTGATAATTTGTAGCTGATTCTGTGGGTAGGTTTCAGCGAAAAATTCTGTGATAACTTTAATCTAGAAGTAAATTTGTCTAAGACGAAAATTACGGTCTTCCGAAATGGTGGCCCACACAAAAAGAACAAACCGTGGTACTTTAAGAACACGCGTATTGCAATTGAATCCTACTACAATTATCTTGTATTATGTTCTCATCGGGTTTATGTTGGTCAAAATGTGTATATACTCTTTCTGTCAAAACTGATAAAGCTCTTATCTGTATTAAGAGTCTGACTAGAAAAGCTGGCTGCCCCCTTTAAATATCTGCTTTAACGTATTGACTCAATAATACCGCCTATACCCCTGTGTGGCTCTCAGTTTGGGGCTTTGGCGTAAGAAGTCATATCAAAAGGGCACAGTCAAACTTTTGTAAATTTTTACTTGGTGTACAATGTACACAGAAGCTCGTCAACAGAGGAACACTGTGTAAATGCGGCCGTCAGAAATTATCCATTGATTACATGCCAAAATGTGCCAAGTACTGGTATAAACTTGCCCTTATGTCAAAATGTAGACAACTTCAGCAAGTATATATAATGCTAAGGCAGTTAGATTTGGTTGGTCATGTAACCTGGGCAACCAAAGTCAGAGCACTATTTTACTCTATTTGTTTTGGTTTCGTTTGGAATTGGCTATACTTCTCTCTTTATCAGAGAATTTATGCTTAGACTGTCTGATTTCGATCTACATGAAGGGTGACACATGTATTATCAAATTCAAATAACCTGCGATATTACAAAAACTTTAAAACGAATATTTGTCAAGAGCAAAGTTTTATCCATATATTAAGAAAAGAGTGTAAAACCTAAACCTACTACCTACAAATGCAAATTTGTTAAAACAAAAAAGGAGCCCATCTCTACTATTTCGTTTGTGTAACCTTCTTGATGAAGATATTGTGAACAATTAAATGACTAGGGTTTAATAAAGACCCACCCCCCACACACACACCACGCACGCTTTCTATTTCGTAGTTACCAAAGATCATTTCTAGTTTTTAAATATATACCCCGCCGAATTTCTAGTACTCTATGTGCAATGTATATAACCTTGCATCTGTCAACTTGTATAACGTTTTTGTACTTGGGTTAATTTGTTAACTTGTATAACCGTGTAGCACTCTTATCTGTCAACCTGTATAACATTGTAGTACTTTATGTGTTAACATTTTAAACTAGTACTCTATGCGTTAACTTTTCTAACCTTATGGTAATCTATGCGTTAACCTGTATAACCTTTAGAATTCTTATCTGCCAACCTGTATAACATTTTAAAATACAGATGTGACGTCACCCTTTGATGTTGGCGTACCATTATTTCAAATAATCGTACGGGCAACTTGCCAATCGTACCTTGTCAAATATTAGACTCGAGTGACGTATTTCACTGTAAACGCACGTGCGGAGTGTCTGTATTTTAAGATGTTTAATGGTCTCGAGCTGAGACATTGCGTAATATATTGTAAAAACACTCGTTGTTACAATATATTACTTAATGTCTCGCTCTCGACCATTAAACAATACATAGTACTCTATGCGTTAACTTTTGTAACCTATATATTGTACTCTATGCGTTAACTTGTGTACCATTATATATTGTACTCTATGCGTTAACTTGTATACCATTACAGTACTTTATGCGTGAACTTGTATACATTACTCTATGCGTTAACTAGTGTACCATTATATATTACTCTATGCGTTAATATATGTAACCGTATATATAGTACTCTATACGTTAAATGTGTATACGTTAAATGTGGATATTTTTCTGTTATATTTTCGGGTGCTAAGAGTGTATTATCTCCCAGTTATCTATATTGTATTATTCATGTTAACGTTTACAAAAATATTTTAATCCAAACTTGAAACATGTTCTCTACAAAAATTGTCCTCCTATATAGTATATGTGTTAATAACTTCGCGTATCTAAGCATATTTACTGCTATTAAGAACAGGCAGTTCAAGTCGCCAGTTTGAACCCATCAAATAAGGCTTTCCCAATTAATGTGCGAATATTGTTAGACTTATGGTCAGTAGCATATTTTTAAACTTTATTTTAATAATACATTTCCTCTATAGTAGTGAGCGCTTGACAGACTGCACGCACAAAAGTTTGCACAAGAATAGGTGATGATTTCCATCTCTCCTGAATGTATTGTATTTATTTTATCTCAACTGGCTCTTCACATCTACGATGTCGTGAACGTTTTCCTGACAAATTTCAATATATTTATATTGAATTAAAGAAACTTTTATCACGTGTAAGAAAGATAATCGCTTAACATTAGATTATCATAAGTATTGACATGTCACAATATAAGATGTTTCCATATTTGATAAATACGCTAATCAATCGCGTTAGATAATTTGATCAGTTGCATATAACATCCTGTTTGCATGCCGGTTAGTCCGAAACAGGCGTTGGGTTTCTGGGCTCACTCTAGGCTCGTTTCTGGATTAGGCAGAATAGCGTACCAAGGCCACCTACAGATTTCCTCAAGCCCTTACCCTAAGCCACAATCCTGGGCAACAACCACGTGCCCTAACCCTGTATACACCTCGTGACCCTGAGGAAATCTGCAGGTGGCCTTGGTAAATAGATCTGACCAGGTGTAGACGGTTACTTAAGGAGTTGACCTTCCTGGGTTAATCTGGTAGCTAATGTACCCGTGTGCTGTATATTTGATCTTGTTCCCGGTGTAAATAAAGTCGCTGGTTAAAAACTAATTGTGTTACGTTATTGAGTATAGTAGTGTTCAGCCGAATTTCCTTAACTCTCCAAGTAAACATTTATCCAACTCAATTAAAGTTTCCAAAAATTTCAAGAAGGGGTAAAGGTCAGGATGAAGGGAAATCAAGAAATATTCAACTAACAAAGCAGTTGACATTTTCTGTGAATTCGACTTTTAACCAACGCGTATGTTTAACACATATCTTGCCCACGGTGCAAACAGACACTGTTCTATCTGTTAGTCGACTTTTAAGAAGTCTGGTTTATACAAGAACATCCCCAAGAATTATTGTCCAGTTTCTAATCTACGTTTCCTCTCCAAGCCAACGTTCTTGAGAAAGCTGTTAAAATTAGATTTGAACATTTAGAAACCAACAGCCTTTACTATGAACTACAATCAGCTTACAGACCTAATCATTGAATCAACCCTTAGTCCTGAATTTTAAATGGATGATGCTTAAATTCCACTTTCGATACTCCGAGATATTAAAACCATATTCGACGTCATTGGTCATATTGTGTTGATTGCCAGTCCAAGTCCGGTAACGACGACATTGGACTAAATAGTTTGGCATATCTCTCTCTATAGTAGTCTGTTGCTATAATTGGTCTACATCAGACTCTTCGGTGCCGTGTGGTATTCCACAGGGTTGTCGGACATTATTTAAATGCACTCGCAATTAGTCTCGGTCACCCAGAACCTCCTAGTCTTCAACGTAGAATATTTTTTTGGATGATAAAGTCTAACTCGCAATATGCAAGTATCTGTATGCTCATGACGCACAGCTAACATACTTTTAAATCCGAGATGATCAACACGCTACTAATAAAACTTCCTCCAGCAATCACTCACAGGATGGACTTAATGCAGAATCCATCTTGATTGTCCCTAATAGTAGACTACCTAGGCGAGAATCATTTGCCCTAAAATACTACAACACAGCCATGTCTTGATATTAAAAACAACCTAACTCTACTGCATAGGTGAGTTAATTACATCGCTCTTAAATATCTGTAACGGTAAATCTTTGATCTACTTGCGATCTGAAAACTGGGGGCGACTTTGAATACATATCCAGGGGAATTTGGGGTTATCCTTCTGAGATTTTTCTTTCCAGAAGAAAGCACGATGCGCGGTTTTCTTTTCATTGATGGACAATTCAATCTAGACAATTGACAAAATCCCCATGCTTTTACGCATGAAGCATTTTTTTAGTGGTGAATATAAGTATCCGTTTGGAGAACATGAGTCTTGCGCGTATCGGACGACCCGGAGAAAACCCACCAGTTTGCGACTCAACACGCTGTTAAAAATACGTCCACTCCTGTTAATTTGCTAGGCAGTCGCCATTATAATCTCAATATATCGCAACGCACAAATTTAAGAACGTCGGCTATACGAAGACGAAACGAAATTTAGGTAATCAGTGGAAAAAATTGAAATCTTTGAAATAATTGAAATCTTCAGGCATCTATTGCTTTGCCTACCACAGATAGATTCAAAGAAAAAGTTTCGATAAGGAGCCAATAGGCCCGTATCCAAACGCACGGAGCGAGTGCAACAAGACTTGTGTTCAGAGCTGAACTATATCAGGACCAGCTGCAAAACTCAACTTCATTGTGTGAAAGTGGACGTTAAATTTCAGGAACGAACGTACTCAACTTCACACAACGAAAACCTCGCACCGATTACAATTCACTGTCACTGATGCCGGTGTTTGTAGCGTTGAAATTGAGTGGATATAAATTAGATGGCAACATTCGGCGCAGTTCCACCCTAGTAACGCTTTATTTTATAAACAAACTTTGAATCAAATGAAATAAATTCACATAAGAAATGCGCGAGGAGTAATAATTGGAACGATATAATACAATTGTCTAGGTTTATAGGTTAGATAAACCACTTGTCTTCGATTATGCTGCGTCAGAGAGACATCAGAAAGAAAAACCGAGGCCGAGGGATAGTTGTTTGAGTCTTTCGTTCCCAAGCATAATCTCTTTAACATTGTTCAACCGAGGGAATTTAGAAATGTTATTTAAATATTTAAAGCATTCTTGATGGCAGTCATAAGAGAAAGTCTGGTTTTGTCTTTTGTACATATTCCATCGACGTCATCAAGTTCTACCGACCATATTCCTACTCCTCTTAGACCTTGACTTACCGCCCACCGAGTCTGAAAATAAAATATAACCTGACGTCAATAAAGAATAAGCATGGAGTTCAAAAATAAAGTTTTCGTCTTCTTTAGGGGATGCGTTATAAAATAATGTGATGTAATTAATGGGAATAGAAAGATTAACTGTCTAGGCCTTAATGACGTAGGCGGGATTTCATGCATTGCTCTACCCACTTTTATTTGAATTCCACCAAGGGATCTGTCAAGTGCCCTATCAATTTGTACACAGAAATATTGCATTCCCGCTCAACCAGTAACCCATTCCCATCCAATATTATTCGACTTGCCCAAAAGGCAAGAAACCGCCATTCTCACCCAAAAAATATAAAGCCCTTTCCTTTCCCAGTTTCAAGTCCGTTTCTTCCCACTCAGAGGTAATACAATTCTCATCCCTGTTACTGTCATTATATCCCCTCCCCTCATTCATCCCCATTATCTGCCATTCACCCTAATAACTGGAATAAAATAGGTATTTCCTTCTTACCTTTTCAGCAGCAGTAATGACGTCATCATAAGCAACCCATGCCGTACCTTTGTATATATATTTACCATGTGATGTTTGGTCACTAACTATTGTAGCGCCATGTTGTATACCTACACACACCTGGTAAATAAATAACACGTGATATGGAGGTCACATAGCTAACAAAAGGTTTGCTGTAAACTTCTGAAATCAGATGAATCCTCAGCAGACCTTTATGTCGGTACACTATTTTATCACCCAATAATATTTTCTACAGTAGATATCGCTTGTGTGATATATTTCATAATCTACTGCGATATCTCCTTAGGAGATATCGCTTTACATGAATTTGATTGGTCAGTTGAAAAGGAACTACTTTTTTTATTTTCAAAGAACAGTTCATTTCTTATTAAAAGTAACTTTTATTTTTATTAAAAATGAACAATTGTTATTCAATTGACCTAGATGGAAACACTGGGTCAATATAAAGGAATTTGCAATGGTTGAATTGCTGTCAAAAAATTATGTATCACTACGCCGTAATGTTCAGTAAAAGCGAAATCTACAGCAAAGAATTATATTTATCTATTTGTGCATGTAAGAAGGGATTGGGTGATAAATAAAATCTCCTATTCGTCTTTTTTGTAACTTTATCAACGAGTGTTGATATTTTTTGATATAAAAAAAGACTGGTTGGTAGGAGATTCTCTATTTATCCGAGTCCTTGGATTGATACTATCTTTTATACCATCGATTAGGTTTGGCGGAAAGCGAGATTTTGTGTTCAGCTGCCCTCTTCTATTGGTGTTTAACGTCCGCTTCTACCCATTGTGGTAGCCTATAGCAGACAATTTTGATACACTTTGCGCACATGCATGGGTCTCTATTCTGGGAGGAAACTGGAGTACACCCACGAGGTTGAGAAGGCGCAGCTATCTCCATGGTTATTGTATTTTAGTACATGTACTTACATCGGGGTACGCATAAACTCCTCTTAAATGTCGATAGGGACTAGGATCACCTTTACTAACAGCAGGTGCGTGAATACCATGCCTTCTGACGTCATTCAGTTTATAAGATCTGCCATAGGATGGGACACCCAGTAACATCTTTGACGGTTTGAACCCAAGACTCAAACAATATGACATCAGTCCAGACTGTAAAAAAAATGGATACAAATAAGTTCGGATCACGTTGACACATTATATTTTTTTGAAGCATACGAATTATACGTTAGTCACTTAAAGGCGAATCCTGCATATGGGGCCTACCACTAATTGCACTGACGCCAATTCATTCAGAATCGTGTTCCATATGCTCTTACAAATAAAATAGCATAAATCAGCCCAAATCGGATAAGGAGATTTTAGGCAAAATCGCTCTGGAATAATGTAAAACGATGAATATCGCGGTTATCGTTCACTCTGGAGAGGGTGGGTCTGTATTTCGGCTGGCCTATTAGTGTGTCTGGTGGCGATGCGAAATCATAAGTGATCTCGCACAAGACTACTGTTATTTGCGGAGTTCACATTGAGTTTCTATGCGAACCTCCAGAACAAGTTCATGTATTTTACCCGAAGTAATGAATTCCATTACTGTATTGGATATGGAGAAGAATATTTACCACAGATGTGTATTTAGATTCACCAGTTACTGGATATAAAGGACTATTAAAACCTGTTACGTTATCAACTTTAGCATTGAACACGTGTAGATCGTACGCCATGACAGTATATAAATCAACATTCCTGCAAAATAATAAAATATCAAAACATGTATAATGGAAATGCGTAAAGGGAACCACGTTGGCTCAGCGGGTAAAGGAAGACGTATAGTCGTTCGGATGGGACGAAACCCGAGGTCCCGTGTACAAATTGAGGCGCACGTACAAAACCCCTTGACAGTTGGAATTCGATATAAGAGTAGGTCGTTGATTGATGTGCTGCGCTTGGTAACCCAGAACCGTCATCCGGATTTTCCGGAGTGATTCCCCTTGTCAGTGGTGTAGCACAGAGGACCTGGCAGGGGACAACGTATGCCGTTCGGATAGGACGAAACACGGAGGTCCCGTGCTCCTACAAGAACCCTCGACAGTTGGAATTTGATATAATCGTAGGTCGTTGGACGATGTGCTGCACGTACAAGATCGATATTTGAGTAGTGCCATGGTTCTGATACTGATTAGCTTATGCCAGTAAATAATGCACACAATTAAAGGCACATTATGCCATACTAAAGGCCATATTTGCTTAGCTAATATAATGCCGATGATAAATGCACAGTTATCTGGGAGCTTACTGATTTATACTTGTAACGTCATATCCTGTTCTTAAAGCATATACGTTGTTAGCCAGTGCCATAGTAACCAATAATGGAGTCTTTCCTGTAGCTTCCTTGTTAACAAATGTTCTAAAAATCTGAAAATGATTTGGCAAAAAGAAATATATTTAAAAAAAAGTCCCTTTATAAATTGGTAGGGCGGAGAGTGTGAGGCAATATCCGGTTACGGTCCTGAAATGAAAAGTAGTACCACGTTTTGTAGAAGTGTAAACTCGTAACTATTTATACGGTATAGTTTGGACTGAATAGTTTGCATAGTTTGTCAATTCCTCGACTGTAAAGTGTTACCAAGTATCCTAGAAAGAGTAAGCAAACCCTAGCTGGTGACCGACTCTTGTCCCTAGCCCTAGTGACCTCAAATTTAGCTCATCCGAATTAAGTACAAACCAAAAATCAGATGATACCCCAGGTTCTAAGTTCGAGTTTTTGTTTACATTATGAAAACTATTATTACTTACCTTTAGAAAGCGAGAGTAATTATCTCTATCCCTTTTCAAGGGAAATTCCCAATCAAAATCAATTCCATCCAATCCTACTTTCCTTAACACTGATATAGCATTGGTGGAAAACCTATTTACAAAGACAGACAAGTACAGGCATATTACAGACCTGTCATTTGTTACAGCAACCAACGCCCACACAATCACACGCTCTCTACTCACAAAATCATACACTTCTTCTGTAAGTGGCATTGCTGCTCACACAATCATACGTGTGTTGCTCAAACAATCATATGCTCCTTCTTTAAGTGGTTTGCTGCTCACACAATCATACGCTTGCTGCTCACACAATCCCGACCTCATGGGTCCCCCGGTTTCCCCCCACTGCTAAAGACCCCCCCCCCCCACGCGCAAGCAAACTGACCTGGTTTGTGTTGAGTGGACGTTAACTCTCTCTCTGGGTGATCTGATAAATCCAAGTGATCAATGCATTAGAATTGTTTTTCACACCATTGTCTGACTTGGTATGGAACTTGCCATACTTATTCCTGGGGCAATGGAGCACCGCTGTTTTTAATAGGACGTGATAACTAATTATTCAAATATGGCTACGATGACGTCATTACTTTATAAAACGTTCTGTTGGAGATATTTTCAAACCCCGGCTGTTTTTATTAGTATAAATCTCCGATTTGGAGTATATTCATTTTTTTTTTTCATTTATCATTATTGGATCTATTGGATACAAATGAAATGGGGTTTAACGTCCGACAGTTCTGCTCCGAATGGACTAATGAAGATGGGGTATTGGATACCTTATTGTATATTATGTTTTCAATCTGATTAAAACAGATATTTCGTTTCGTTTTTTTTACAATTCAAAATTTCGTTTTTCTTGTCTTTACGACAGTAGGATCTGAAAGATTTGTTATATAACCCGCGCACTGGATGATGTGTGGGATTAGTCAATGAAACTGTCTGTTACGGCGACTTTTTGGCGTGAGGTGCACTGAACTGTGGGTAACCCACTAGAAACGACAACGCTGATTGGCTAATCAAATGTCTGACGTCATAGGGCCAAAAGCAGCACGTATAACCTCTGACGAAACCTTTCACTTCAACTTGTCAGATCTTCATGTAGTAAAGACCATCAAAAGTATTAAAGTATTAACACAGATCTGTATTTTAGATCTGTACGTTTCCTATCCATTATACTCGTAAAATGTAAGCAACCGAGAACAAGCTCTGATCCAGAACAAGGTTGGGGATCAATATCATAAAAATCAGATAAGGCTCTATTATGGGTGCCAAGAGGAGAGACGGTAATAACTTTAGACTATATGTACCGCCTTACACTTTTAAAAACTCGCCCAAAAGGGATCTCAATTTTCAGAAACTATTTCTCTATTTTGCTGCTCTGCTCTGCTATTTTAAATGAATGCAGTTGATTTATTTCACAAAGAGATAGGGACGGATTCCTCCTGTAAACGATTGGTCGTCACGGCATTTAAAGGTTTCTGGTTTCAATTCCCCGGTTGTACGTGGCAAGGAGTAGGGTCGCATTTCCAACCTTGTGGGTTTTCTCCGGGTCCTCCGTTTTCCTCCCACTACTGAAGACCCCTACGCGCAAGCGAATTATTGAAATTAAATTGAACCATGTGTTAGTTCCGCAATGACCTAGTTTGTGTCGAGTGGATGTTAAACCCCATTTCTCTCCCTTTCTCTTGTCTAATCGAAGGCTTTATGTTTAAAATTACAGAGAGCATGTCATTAAATTGATTGGATGGTAAATTTTCCAATCTCTTTCCCTGTAATAGAGTATGTTCTGGATATCTCATTATACTAAAAGACCAGGGGCAATAACTTCACCATTAATTGAATAATCACATTGAAGTCTTTTAGACGGCGTTTAACACTAACGCCCATAATAAGAAATCTTACTTCTCCATAGTGATCTGTGAATCGGTAACAACGGTCGGAAATCCCTGCTGCAGCGACAGTAGAACCTTTAACTCCGGATTCTGCTTCTTTAACCCCACTAGGGTGTTGATGGCATTCACATCAGTCTGATCTCTGAACTTTATGGTTCCTCCACTTATCAAACCAAAGGCGTAGATAAGATGGGTACAAGTTTTGGCAGGAACAGCACTTGGCGGGAAATAACTGGTTTGAGTGAAATAACAGACGAAGATGTTGCCATCGGCTGCTGAAATGTGAGAATATCATTGAGCAAACCCTGAACACTCATATCAGTCAGGACATTTGTCACAGAATCAGATAGGGTTTAATTAATAAACGGTAAACTCACAAATAACTTGAACATATGAGGATGAAAGAATTTCCATATTGGGGGCTAAATCTATTTGTTAAGGCCAGCTCAAGTTTTGACAAGGTCGCGAAGATGTTAATAAGGTTAGGGCACGTGATTGTTGGCGAGATTGTAGGTAGCATTGGGGCTAGGTCCAGGGTTGGGGTTTGGGTTAGGATTAGCGCTAACCCTGTTTATATCTTGTCACCTATGAAGGGCGACACCACGACATGACGACATGATACCAATCAATCACCATAAGTAACACACTCACCTGATTTAACTGAAGTATATAGCCCTAGAGCAACAAGAAGAAAAGACAACATCCTTGCTCTGAAAATAAATAATCTGAAATTCAAAATAAAGAGTTGTGATGTAAATCAACATGCCACGAGAGGACGGTTCTCGACCCACGTTGAGATTCGAATCAGGAGATTCTAGAATCTACCAATTCTAGCATCAGTTATGGCCACTGAGAGAGAGAGAGAGAGAGAGAGAGAGAGAGAGAGAGAGACACCCCCCCCCCCCCCCACACACACACACACAAACTAGGTAATTTTGGGATTAACAATGGTTCAATTTTATTTTATTTCAATAATTTGCTTGCGCGTAGGAGGATCAGAAAAGCCGGAGAAAACCCACGCGGTTGGACAGGCGACCCTACAACTTGTTACGTACGAGCAGGGAATCAAAACCACGCCACTTGACTCAATGACAGACCTTGTGATCTCACGCGCACGTGTTAGATCACTAGACCACCCGTCCCCCCTAAATATGAAACGGAATTGGGTTTAACGTCCTACTGTTCTGCACCGACCGGGATAATGAAGACGTGGTTACGTCGTACAGTGTGTTATGAGAGAAATTTTGTCCGGTATACTAGTATTTCGAACTCAAGCTGCCAGGGTTCTTTTACGTGCACGCCCATGTGTACACAGGACCTGAACTTTCTCGGTCATTACAAGGATCGAACACGGGATCTTCAAGTTAGCGAGCCAACGTCTTACTCGCTGAGCCACCGCGGTTCCCACTTGTTAATACACTCGGTCTTTTATTACAGCCTTTGTATTAAATTAAATATATTTGTGACTTGAGATATGTAAAAAGTCTGGATTGTTACGTCTCTGATAATTGAAAACCAATATAATGCATAGAACAACCTGCGGCTGCCAGGCAGGATACGCCCACATTTTCGAGAGATGGATAGAGAACAAGCTAAAAACGCGATTTTTCGTACAATCAGGGGCCATAATTCTGGAAGTTACGTGCCGATTTTCACGAAATTCGAACTCAGCCTTCCTTAGGGTGTAACGGTGATACGGTTTTTTAAATCGGATAAAAAATTATGACCTCTATAGAGTCCACAAGCTAAAAACGCGATTTTTCGTACAATCAGGGGCAATAATTCAGGAAGTTACGGTCCGATATGCGCGAATATCGACAGGAACTGAGATCTTTGGGTTATAAACTTACATTTCAAGTTTCAACAAAATCGGATAAAAATTGTGACCTCTATAGGGTCCACAAGCTAAAAACGTACAATCGTACAATCAGGGGCCATAATCCATGAAGTTTTTATCCGATACATGCCGATATCGAAAGCAGCCGAGATCTTATGGGGATAAACCTATATTTCAAGTTTCGTCAAAATCGGATAAGAATTGTGACCTGTAGAGAGTCCACAAACAATTGTGGACGGACGGACAGGGGCGACGGCATAATACGTCCACATGAAAATGTGGGCGTATAAAAATGTACATTAATTAATCTCCCCAGATTGATCAAAGCGGATATAAAACATCAAGCTAAAATTTTTAAATGGAGACGACCCCTAATTGAGAACAAACCGAGAAGTCAACGTTAACGGCAATAGCTTTGTGTTAACAACCCTGAATAATCGAGAATCAAGATTTTGAAATCGACCAAGCTTATTTCTGATTAGAAGGCTTTGAAGTTTTGTGGGACATATAGTAGAACAATGTTAGATATAATTACTCTCACAAAAAACACAGAATAACATAAAATCTTCTAATGAATGAATAAACTTACCTCATTGATGTACTAAAAATCACGGAATCGCAACCGACGATTTAAACAAGCTATTCGTTAAAACTAGCCTGCTATATAAATATATTTCAGCCAGAGATATTATTTTATGCACACACCCTCTTAACTAGAATTAATAAGGATGTAAGCTATGAATTCGTTTTATAGAGAAATTTATATTAAACTTCCTTGTTATATAATGATGAACCTTGTTATATAATGATGAACCTATGACTCACCGTAGTAAATTTTATACGCGTGCTACATATTGAAAGGGAATTCCCGATTTTTTTTTGTTCAGTAATTTACAATATTTGCATTAGAGTGGAGTCTTAGAATTAACAATAACATTCACCCTATAAGAAAAAACCCGCTTGGTCCGACTTTATTATCCCGACCCCCATAAGTCCGTCACCAGAAAAATTAAACAAACTGGAGTACATGTATTTCCAGATCGGAAACAATCCACAGACATAATTATACATTATAGATATGTCGGATACAAGTGGGGCTAAATTAATCAATGATTTTCAACGGATTTAAACACAATCACCAGGGACCTGTTTCACGAAATTTTAACTAAAGATGAAATCCAAATTTTAGTAGATACTTCAATTTTGATTGGCTAAACACTAAAATCAATCTAATATTATCCAATCAAATTACTAAAATTTGGATTTTATCTTAGTTAAAATTTTGTGAAAAAGGGACAATAGACACTTTGTTTATTATCGTAACAACGGTAGCAATGACATTCGAGACTATGCTATTCTTCAAACAGCCGTAGCTCCGCTCAGAATGAAGTAATTTGACTGGAATTTTCAACATATTTCCTTTTGATTATCTATTTTGTACCTAATTATAGTGAGAAGTGTCAGGTCCTAGGCTATTAAAGATGCATTATGCAAGATTTAGACATAAAGAGCTGACAGTTCTCGCTATCCTAGTAAAAAACATAGATAATAAAGTCTTATATTAAAGATGCATTATGTAATATTTTGACAAAGATAAAATCCAAATTTTAGTAATTTGATTGGATGATATTAGATTGATTTTAGTGCTAAGCCAATCAAAATTGAAGTATTTACTAAAAGTTGAATTTGATCTTTAGTTAAGATTTCGAGAAACAGAGCCCTGGAAAATTTCAAAACGCATTTCAGGGGAGCTAACTCAACATGTATTAAAATCTGTGCTGTCTCGAAAGCCCAACTCTTTATTCGTTGCCGTCAAACTGAAACAGGGTAGACCGGATTGATTAAGACTACATTATATCCCTCTCATTGCGAAATGAAATGACATGAAATGAGGTTTAACGTCCTACTGTTTTGCTCCGAACTGGTCTTTTGAAGACGAAAATACGCCATAAAGGGTGCTATGAGGGAAATTTTTCCCGGACAGCGGCAGTACGACCTACTCTTATATCGAATTCCAACTGTCAAGCGATCTTTTACGTGCACGCCAATGTGTACACGTGACCTCGGTTTTCCGTCCCATCCGAAAGACTAGACAGCTTTGCTTGTCAGGCCCCCCGTCCTGTATCACTGACAAGGGTGAACCACGCCGGAAAATCTGTTTGAACTTTCTCGGCCAATGCAGGGATCGAACACCCGATCTACAGTCTAGAGAGCCAGCGTCTTACCCTCTTAGCCACCGTGACCCCACACGCGCATTGCTTATAGTTTATGACCTTGATTCCATCCATCTATAATAACTAAAGTGGTTTGTAACTGTACCAAAAAACTAAGATAAATATTTCACCACAAATTGATTTATACTCACCAATTTATAAGGTTATTCGTTCGACTATAAACGATTAAGGTAGTCTTTTCTTTACGCATCAATCTGTGTCAACACCGTTTTGAGTTTAGGTATTTATGGAAAACATTTGAGCTCTTTATTAAGATATCTCGGAAAACGCCCCGGAGATCTCGTAGGTTGGTAAATCAAAAATGCTATGAAAAATAAATCAAAATTTGAGCCTGTCAATGAGTCAAGTGGCATGGTTTCGAGCATACACTTATACGTGACAAGGAATCGCCTGTCCAGCCTCGTGCGTTTTTCCCGAGTTCGCATAGTACACTGCATGGCATCCGCCCGTCTTCATTTGCCCAATCGGAGCAGAAAAGTAAGATGTTGAACCCAATTTCATTTCATTTCTTGATTCTGGGTGGTTAAGACGCAACTGACCCCCTACTCAAATCCGCGCTTGAACAGGGTACGCGGGTCACTTTGAAAGTAAAAAAAGGCCCACTGTTTATACTGAAAGCAAAAATGTTGTGTTTTGTATCTTGAAGTGAATTCAGAATGAAGTGACAGATACCCCGTTCACCACATCATATTAATATATAACTAACTGTCCATTTATCCTGGATAATGCCCCCGTCAGACCGGGTGGCGTCCTTACTGCGCTGCTGCGACCGTACAGCGACTAGAAAATGCACAAGGTCGCCGGCAAACGTAAACACAACGCGAGAAATTGTCCCAAAACATTTACAAACTTGATAAAAGTCTCGTTCTTTACCCCGTCAGACCGGGGTGGCGCCTTTACTGGGCTGCTACGGCGACGGAAAATGGCCCCAGAGCGCGTCAAGATCGCCATAAGCGTGGTAAAAGCGTGGTGGAAACGCCAGATATCACGCTGTGGTCTCGATGTTTGCAAAAGATCGCCGAGTCACGGCGTTTGTTTTGAGCATGTTCAGAACAAACGCCAAGGTTCTGCGATCTGCCCTGAAAAGACGTGAAAACGCAATTTTTTTTTCAAGTTTGTAATATTTTGGGACATTTTCGTACCTTGTGTTCACGTTTGCCGCCGACCTTGTGCATTTTCTGGTCGCCGTACGGTCGCTGCAGCGCAGTAAGGGCGCCACCCCGGTCTGACTGGGGCATTACAACTTTCAAGGTTAAATCGCAAAGCCTTGGCGTTTGTTTTGAATATGCTTAAAACAAGCGCGGTGACTAGGCGATCATTCACGACCATGGAGACCACAGCACGATATCTGGTGTTTCCACCACGCGTTTACCGCAATCATTTTCCGTCGTCGTAGCGTCGCAGTAAAAACGCCACCCCGGTCTGACGGGGGTATAAAGAGATTGAAATAGCACTTCTGATATCACTTAAAATAAACAACATATCAACTTTCAAAGGACATTTGACTCCAGAATAAACCACAGAGGCAGTTTCAAATTTTAAATATGTAAAAAAGACCTGTTTCCAAATAAGAGCCCCGGTTTTCAACCTTTTAATATATTCACCCAAGTAAATTTTAATATAATTTTATTTTTATAATTTTTACTCAAGTCAATTTTAATTTCCACCCAAGTCATTTGTAATATAATTTGTTTTTTTTATAATTTTCACCCAAGTCAATTTTAATTTCCACCCAGGTCATTTGTAATATAATTAGTTTTTCATAATACTGACCCAAGTCAATTTTAATATAATTTGTTTTTTTATAATTTTCACCTTAGTCAATTTTAATTTTCACCCAAGTCATTGGTAATATAATGTTTTTATTTTAATTGTCATTTGTAATATGATCGGCCATTTTGCCCGGACAGCGGTGGTCCCGCCTATTCTTCTTCGAAATCTCGTTGCTGGCCTTAAAAGAACCGGACGGGGGTGTGGGGGATTGGGGTGGTGTAGGGAAGTCTTAAAAAAAATTAAATTATATTATTTTTCATGTTCCTTATCAGCCACCGTATTCATGTCCCTTATCAGCCACCGTGTTATTAGAATACCTTGGTCTTGAATTGTCAGAACTCCGCCATTTTATACATTGTGGACTCTTTAATTAAGAGCTGAAGTGTCTTCCATACAGTATGTCACAAAATATTGTGATCTCTATTTCTAGACTAAAGTAAACAAGTGTTGCTGCGACTTAAAAATAATTCTCAGGTTTGTCGACATATTTTGAATATTTTCTATAAACAGACAAATGACTCTTTCATTGTCCATCTGTAGGCCTATAGAAAATTAATTGCCTTAAAGTTGCATTATGTAAGAACTAAATCTGCCTATTGCAGGGTTTTCTTTAGGTCTGAAATGTTATATAAATCATTAATTAGATATTTAGTCACACGACAAGCCCATAACCAACTCCCTAGATCATCGGTTGGGTGTGATTTTAAACGGATTAAAACATGGGCACCATTTTATAATTTATAATTTAATTGAGATTTTGTTTATTGTAACTACGGTAACGATGTAAATCTCAAGCAGTCCACCATTTTTATAGGCACCACACAGAGTCGTTATCTTTCACTTTCTGAGATGAAGAATATGAAACTCTGGTATAAATATTCTGTAACGGGGGTAAAATTAATTTCAGCAAATTTTACCAATCTTGTTATCTGGACCAAACAATATATATCATTTTCGATTCCAATTGCCGTATCGGTCATATTTTATTAAAATATCATCGAGTATTTCTTTTAATTATGAAATATCATCATCACGCCGTGTTTCTTCAATTTAATGCTATCTGTTTTCAAATAATGTGCTTTTAGTACAGAAAAGAAATCTTCAAAATCAACCGATACTCCCCATTTATCTTCAAAGGCAGGTGAAATATTTTCAAAGCCAGACACTTTAAAAATCATCTTAACTCGGGGAAAATAGTATAACACTGTTTTAATTATGGTACGATAAACGTGTGGTGGTGGTCGAGTGATTTACCGGGGGAGCGTGAAATAACAAGGTCTATCATTGAAGCAAGAAGCATGGTTTCGAATTCCCGCTTGAATGTGACGTGACAAGGAGTAGGATTGCGTGCCCAACCTCGTGGGTTTTCTTTAGGTCCTCCGGTTTCCTCCCACTGCTAAAGACCCATACGCGCAAGCGAATTATTGAAATAAAATTAAACCATATGTTAGTCCCGAAATGACCTAGTTTGTGTCGAGTGGACTTTATCCCATTTATCAATGGTTGAATTGCTGTCAAAAAACGATGTATCACTACGCCGTAATGTAATCAGGTTCAGTAAAAGTGAAATCTATAGCAAAGAATTATATTTATTTATTTGTGCCTGTAATAAAGGATTGGGTGATAAATAAAATCTCCAGCTCGTTTTACAAAAATATCAACACTGTCTCTCTACTCCGGCTAATCAAAGGAGAGTACAAAAGTTATATAAGATATTCTACATCTGTAGGTATTG